CAAGGTTGGATGTTTTATTTTGTGGATTAAGGGAGGAAAAAAAAGTGGGGGGTTCCTGGGTTGCTTTTCACTTTTCTTCAAGATCCGTGCAAAACAAAAGCGTCAAAGTCTGAACTCAGAATTCTGTGCCACAGCAGAAAGAAAATCTATTGGTCTGATCATTTCCAAGCAGTGAGATCAGAGAATCATAGAATAGTCTGGGTTGGAAGGGACCTTAAAGACAACCTAGTCCCACCCCCTGCCCTGGGCAGGGACACCTCCCACCACACCAGGTTGCTCAAAGTCCCGTCCAACCTGGCCTTGAACCCCTGCAGGGATGAGGACACTTCCTGAGCAGAGGTCACTCAGCAAATGGCACCAAGAAGGACAGTGAAATGCCGTAAGAGGAACAGCGCAGCAGAACCAACCACCTCATCTTCCCATTCCAAGCTCCTCTTGTCTTCAAATTTCTCCCGGACAACCAGGACGCTGCATTCCCAACGGGGAGAATCACAGAATCACAGAATCTTAGTGGTTGGAAGGGACCTCTGAGATCATCGAGTCCAACCATCGAGAACCCGTGTAACGCCCAGCACCTCAAAGATATTCGAAATACTCCTTTCTCCTGCATCTCTAGAGTGAAGCAAACAACACAACAACTCCACGAACCCAAGAAGAGGTTGCAAATGTGCCCCCCGGGAGAGCTGGGGAGTGGAAGGCACAAGGAGCTGCTGGAAAGCAGCAGATCCCACCAAAGGGACCTCTGAGATCATCGAGTCCAACCATCGAGAACCCGTGTAACGCCCAGCACCTCAAAGATATTCGAAATACTCCTTTCTCCTGCATCTCTAGAGTGAAACAAACAACGCAACAACTCCACGAACCCAAGAAGAGGTTGCAAATGTGCCGCCCGGGAGAGCTGGGGAGTGGAGGGCACAAGGAGCTACTGGAAAGCAGCAGATCCCACCAGTTCACACACTACCATGGAATTACCACCGTGCCTATGGGCATAAATCACATAAATCCCACGGAGGCAAGAGCCAAGCTGCAGGTCCTGTTCCACAAGCCTTCGCTCGCATGGAGAGCTGCAACCAGCCCCGCAGGACAGCCCCGCCAGCAGAAACTCCTGCTCCTGCCTGGATCTGCTCCCACCAACAGAAGCCCTGCTTTCAAATACACCTCCTCTTCTACAAACAACCTCCTGGTGGAGCGCAAAGGCAGCGCTGCAGGCTCTCCTTGGCACATCTAAACCAGAGAGTGAAATGGAGCAGCCCTTCTCCGGCAGAAGAAAGCCAGCAGGACACACACGCACAAAAAAAAAGATCAAAAATTCAGGTTTAGTAGATTATGGGGATAATTAAGAACAGCTTGCATCAGGAATGCCACACTCCGTGTGTCCAGCACTGGACAACTAGGTTTCCCACAGCCAGATCTTCCAAGGAAAAGAGCCAGGTGATTGCCTTGATCCCAACAGCAGCAAGAAGCTTGAGGAGAGGCCAGGTGGCCAGGTGGACCAGGGACAGGTGACAAGGACGCAGCAGCGACGTTGGTGTGACATTCAGCCTTCTGCCAGAGAACAGTGGCCCGGGACAACAGAAACATGTGGCTCTTCATTCATTTGGCAAGTCCCTGCAGTTTCAGAAGGTAAATGTGTGGCACCAAGCCAGGGAAATGACCAAGTTGAAGGTTCAGTAAGCCATGGAGACAAGCTGCAGAGTGACTTGGTTACACAGATGGCGTTCCTGACCATCCACGGACACCAGGAGAAAGCTTTGGATCGATCCTGCACAGATTACAGCCAGCAGGATGTTCTTCACAGTCATGAAACCTAAAAAAAAAGCCATTTCTTCTCTCCTGGTGGCAGGAGTTTTTCCCCAGAACATGACAAAAACAAGGCAATTTGGGGAAGCCAGGAAGAAAGTACAAGACAACTGATTTGGGCTTTTTTTTCCCCCCTTTCACATTTCTCTCATTTTAGAGAAGGAATCACAACTGTCCCTTTCACCCAGATGCTACTATTCGCTGGTGCCCTGATTTTCATGCACTGAGTCTTTTTTTCTGCTGACATGAGGTGCTTTAGTGACGGGCAAAAATACACCTCTGCCCCACAGCCCCCACAGAGGACACGGCTGTTCTCAGCACCACACACAAACCCCAAGTCCCCATCGACTTGTAATCAAATCAACAAGGCAAAACAAACAAACTCAGCTACTGGAAGCTGCCAATTATCATGGGCTTAAAGGAAAAAAAAAAACACGTATTTTTTTCTTAATTTGCTAAAATGTTTTTTGCTCTCCTGAATTCTGCGAGGAAACCCACACAATAGGAGCTGATTGCAAAGAGGAAACAAGGGAACCTGATAACACACAGGGTGCTGTCAAATGCACCGAGGAACCTGACAAAATAGAGAGAAACAGTTCTTCTTTGCTCTTCTTTCCACCGCTGCGCTGGCGGGTGCTGCTTACGAAGCGACGAGCCTGATGCAAGGCCTTCCCCAGCCAGTGCTGTTCCCCCACGGAAAGGAAAATAGGTGGGATCCAATTTAGGAAAGAAATGCCTTGTGAAATTGTTTTTTTCTCCAAAGGGGGTGACCCTGAGCTCAGTGTCATAGAATCATAGAATCATAGAATAATTGAGGTTGGAAGAGACCCTTGGGATCATCGAGTCCAACCATCTCCCCTACTCTACAAAGTCCTCCCCTACACCATGTCCCTCAGCACTGCATCTAAACGGCCCTTAAACACAGCCAGGGATGGTGACTCCACCCCCTCCCTGGGCAGCCTGTTCCAATGCCCGACCACTCTTTCGGTGAAAAATTCTTTCCTAATGTTCAATCTAAACCTCCCCTGTTGGAGCTTGAAGCCGTTCCCTCTCATTCTATTGTTAATTACCTGTGAGAAGAGACCAGCACCAACCTCTCTACAGTGTCCTTTCAAGTAGTTGTAGAGAGTGATGAGGTCTCCCCTCAGCCTCCTCTTCCTCACACTAAACAGCCCCAGCTCCTTCAGCCGCTCCTCATACGATTTGTTTTCCAGCCCCTTCACCAGCTTCGTTGCCCTCCTCTGCACTCGCTCCAGCACCTCCAGATCTCTCTTGGATTGAGGTGCCCAAAACTGGACACAATACTCGAGGTGTGGCCTGTCAGATGTCCTAGAGTCCCCCTCACTGCCCTGGCTGCCCCACAACACCCTGCTGGGTGCCACACAGAGCCCCCCCACTAACACCATGCATACAGGGGCCACCACCCACCCGGGGACCATCCCAGGTGGGGAGAGTGGCACATCAGTGGGGCCAGGGCTGGCAGTGTGAGCCCCGGGGTGTGGGGAGGATGGGGGGGGACCCTGTCACACAGGGCATGAGGGTGTCCCGCTGTACGGTGGCATCCCAGTGTGGTGGGCACAGGGACGGGGAGCAATGGGGCTGGCCTGGGGATCGGGGATCCCGTTTACTGGGCACAGAGATGATGGGGTGCCCCAATGTGCAGGGCACAGGGGGAGGAGAGGTGATGAGATGCCATGGGGTGGGGGGCACAGGGGCAGGGAGGTGACAGGGTGCCCCAGAGTGGGGAACAAGGGTGCAGGGAGGTGATGGGGTGCCACGGGGTGGGGGGCACAAGGGCGGGAGGGACAAGGTGCCCCGGGGTGGGGAGGACAGTGGCAG